ATGTATGTATAAAATAGTGCTCAATAATGGTAACATAGTCGCCTAAAGGTAATTCCATAAAACCTTCGTCAATCATAAGAAAGTGTACTTAACTAGGGGTATCATAGTCGCCCGAAGGCATAACCATCACCCAAGGGTGAAGTTGTACGACATTGGGTTACGCCAATGAAGAAATACGGTAGGTTCCATCACCCGAAGGTGAAGCTGTACGACTCTGGGTTACGCTAAAGATGAAAAAGCATAACACATCGACACTAACTGTGACTAGTGAAGTTGTGCAACATTGGTTTCGCCAATGAAGCTAGAAGTATGCCATAAATATCTTACTACTCATCAATTGTGTCATACGGACATAGACACTCGTGTTGTGCGTATGCTTTGTATGATTACCCACTAAGTAAGCACAAAAAACATAAACATAATCTTTCCAAATCATATCATCAGAGCTCAATAGCTCAAACATCATAATTCTAGCTCAAATCATCATCATAAATCCAAATTCACAAGTCCATAATATCTCGAAAGGCGTAAAAGCAATAGGTCGTAAAATCTTTCATAAAACGTACGTTCGATAAATCATAAATAATGCGTAAAACATAAAATTATGAAATCATGCTTTTCGTGAATGCAAGCTTAGTATTTTAATAAAAATCATGCAATTTGAGAAGGGGTCTACTCACAGATACTCTGTCACCAAAGAGCCGTGCAAACTAGAAAGGATGGGGTCGCCACTAACAAACGCACCTTGAAACGAGACGAACATATTGGTACCCTTCTCGATGTCTAACTTGCATGTGGTTTGGCCAGATTATGGCCTGGAAGGTCGCAAGTTTGCCAAAAAACTGGGTTTTTTGCTAGATTTCAATTTGGGATCCTGTGGTGGCCAAAGTTGGCCGGAAAAAACCTGCAAAGAGTCGTCCCCTCACTGGAAAACTAGGGAAGGCTTTCCCTGAGAAAAACTTAAACAGTGGGGGAGCCATTGTGCAGCGAGAAAAGAAATATTTAAGAGGTTTTTCATCGTTCTTAGTCCAAGGGTTTCGCAGAGAGCATGGGGATGATGATAGGGTTGCCGTTATTGTTGTTGTATATGTGTATGCATGTGTGTGGCTCAGAGATAAGAGAAAAGTACAGAGAGATGATAGGGAGGGAAAATGAGAGAGAGTAAAATGAGAGAAAGAGATTGATGGGAAGAGGGGGTCCAGGGAACAAGGAAACATATGTGGACCTTAGTGGCTCATATGACAAGGCCAAAAGAGCCAAAATGGGAAAATATCCCGCGAACGTAAAATTACCAAAACCCCCTAATATTCCAAATTCCGTAGAATCGTTGTCATAACTCTGAATTTAATTTCGTTCGTGTCTACGCATTCATAAGAACGAGTGTTACACGGATACGTTAACATAATGGGTTATACGTCTCCTAATACGAGGGTCAACTAAAGTCAACGACTTCGCCTCAAAGGGCATTTTCCTAAAATCATACTTTTAAAATTAATAAAACTGTAAAATTAGGGATGAGTTGTTACAGTTTTTATCAGTCCTTGAAATTGACCCCTCTTTAAATGGTCCATAAAATTAAAAAATGATCAACGTAGACCCTGAAATGGGTATTGCAAATACATGTAATCATTCTGACACAATTTTATTAAAAAAAAAAAAAATTGTTATGTACTTATATGGTATATAACTAGTCCCATAAGTCTAATTATATATTCATATATGAATTAACAATATTTAGATGATAATGATAATTTCTATTTTTATTTTTAATATACCAAAAATCATTTTTGTGACATCCCGTCCCAAAATTTAATGTATTTTATTCTCGGTTACAATGAAATTTCTAAAATGTTCCTGAGATGCCACGTAAGCCGTCCATGTGGACCTCAATTTTTCTTTCACTTTCCCACTCTTATTTTATTATTTCTGAATAGTACTTATTTTTACGAATGCATAGCCACATACGAAATTCAATTTGGACTTATAATGAACAAGTTACGTTCGAAATTGTGTAAAAATACCTAAGACAAATTCAAAACTTGAAATTTTCTCCTTATGCAGCATGCACCATTGCATAGTTCTTTTTGGAACAGGAAATCAGCCTTGATGTAGTGTAAAAACTTGCATGAGTTGACCGATTTAATTAAAGAGAAGCAAATTGGTTTTAATTAATATGTTATTAGATTTGAGTGTGTGAGTGGGACCTTGTGCAGGGTGTAAGCCTACACTTGTTTCATATGGAAATGAGTAATGATATTCATACCACATTTTTATACCACCTTAGGTGACATCTGATGTGTATAGTCACATCATTGGAAAAATTTACAAAATCCAAGGAAATGAGGAGAAAAACTCATCGTATATCACAATCATAATTTAATTAACTAGTTTTTCTTAATTAATAGTTTATTAAATAATGAACTAAATTTAAAAATCTGATTAATTTAAATGATATGGCTGTCCACATCAAATGCAACTTAAGATGGTATGAAAATGTGGTACAAAAACATGGTATGAATAACATTACTGGAAATTCAAGGCATGCAAATGGCATTTAGCGATTTCTCATCTCCTCCCTCTCGGACACACGCAACAACCACCATCATCACTCCAAGCTCCACCAACACCTCTAAATTCTCCAAAAAATTATCTACGATCCTCTGCAACTCCTTGGTGGTGCCGGAAGCTTCCTCAACTATGGTAAGCCCAAGATTTCCACCCTTAAGCTCTAACTTGAGTTTTTCTGTATAGTTTACTAGCATGCATGCAAGTTTCCATGTGTTGCATCAACACACAACCTAAACCAATTAGTGAAGCATCACCATAGATTTCAAAGTTACCGCTATCGTCAGGAAGAGCAAGAACGAGGGCATAAGTAAGGCAGTACTTCAATTGCTGGAAACTATTTTCACAGTCATCATTCCATTCGAATTTGACACCTTTCCAGGTCAACTTTGTGAGAGGTAGAGCTATGGTGGAGAAATCTTTCACAAAACGTCGATAACAACAGGTAAGACCAAGGAAACTTCGTATCTCAGTGACATTTTGCAGACGTTCCCAATTCTCAATGCTGCAACTTTCTGGGGATCAACATGAATACTATCAGCTGAAATTATGTGCCTAAGGAAAGATACTTAATTCAACCAGAGTTGGCATTTGTTGAACTTAACGTGCAATTGATTGTCTTAGAGCTTCTTCAAGACTAAACGCAAATGTTTAACATGATCAACCTCGCTTTTAGAATAAATGAGTATGTCGTCAATAAAAACAATGACAAATCTATAGAGGTAGGGGGCAAAATATATGATTCATCAGATCCATGAAAGCAGCTGGGGTATTCGTCAACCTAAATGGCATCATAAGGAACTTATAATGGCCATATCGAGTTCAAAACGCCGTCTTGTGAACATCCTCACTTTTGATCTTCAACTGGTAATAGCCAGATCTAAGTTCAATTTTGGGAAATACTCGAGCACCATGTAGTTGATCGAAGAGGTCATCAATTTGAGGCAAAGGATAACGATTTTTAATCATTACCCAATTGAGCTACCTATAATCAATGCAAAGTCTCAACGTCCCATCCTTCTTCCTGACAAATAAGACTAGAGCTCTCCATGGGGAAGTACTAGGATGGATGAAACCCTTATCTACTAGTTCTTGTAACTGAGCCTTAAGTTCTCTTAATTCTGCATGAGTCATTCTGTAAGGTGCAAAGAAAATTGGGTTAGTACTTGGAATTAGATCGATGTTGAATTCTATATCCCGATCAGGTGGCAATCCATTTAAATCTTCTGGGAAAACATCGGGAAACTGGTTGACCAAGTCGACATCCTCGAGTCATACACTAAGTACCATTCACAACCCTTCTTCAACATTCTTTTCACCTTCATGGTAGAGATAAGCCCATGCTTCAACTTCCGGTGTTCATTAACAAAAGTGACCATTGACAAACCCGGTCGTTAAAAAGTGACTACTTTATTTCAACAGTCTACCATGGCATAGTTTTGACTTGGCCAATCCATTCATAGAATCATGTCAAAGTCTACGAGCTCTAAGGGAATGAAGTTAGCTGGTATGATTTGATTTGCAATGATGACAGGGCATCCCTTATACTCGTACTAAGCAAAGCACAAATCACCACACGGCATAGTGATGCACATGTCGTACCATTTATAAGTACCTTGGGGTGGGGTCAGTTGAGCAAATATATGGGATATTATCGAGTGGGTAGCACCCGTATCAATAAGTATTCTAGCAAAGTGGCCAAGAACATTTAACGTACCTATAATCAAGTCATGGTTATTCTGGGCATCTTGATAGGTGATGTTGTTAACATAACCATGAATCTGTTGTGATTCTCCACGGCATGTTCCCCTATTTCCTTTGTTTTGATTTCCTCATCCTTGATTCCCACGTCCCTAGTAGTTTCATCTATTTGCTCCATCAGTGTTAAACGCATCTCCAAAGTCCTGGTACTGACCTCCACCGTACCACTGGTGTCCACCCTCTTGGTATTATGGCATATTCCTTAGATATTGCATCTTGTTCCCAGTCTAGGGAACCATAGAAGCAAGATACTGGTTGATTAGTAGTAGATAATAAGCTATTTCTCCTTGGTAATTGATGGCTCCACTGTACGTGGGTTGCCGTTGAGGCCCTTGACCTAAAAATTGGGTCGGCTGGTAAGAAAGGATACTGGGAGTTGTTTCTACTATCTCTGGGACACTGGTTGGCTCTGTGTCCTTACTTCCCACAAGTGTAACATGCATTACTTCATTGATTACATTCACTATAGTGACGAGTGTTGCACCGAAAATAGTTTTGAAGACTAGAGTTGTTAGAGCTCCCCTACCGATGGAATCGGGAACTCTATCAGGATTTACCCCCAGAGCAAGATGAGCTAAAGTTAAACCATTGGATGATCCGGAATTGTAGCCACTTCTCTTGAATGACTAGTTATGGCGAGGGCTGAAAGAAGACTAACCACGATTATTCTTCTTCTAAGAGCTTCCACTTGCCTCATCAACTATGTCGTTCAGACCATTCTCAGATTCCTCGATTCGTACCAAACCCTCGTAAAATTTTTGGCAGGTAATGCATGGAGTGCCTGATGCTAAATATTGAAGTTGTTTCCGTGTCCCCTTCTTAAACTGGAGTAGCACATCAGAGGGATCATTGGCAATGATGAGCCAGTAGCAAGAAAGGTCAATAAACTTTCTATGGTACTCCGTCACTGTCATGTTACCTTGCCTCAACTCAATGAATTCTCTTTTCTTTCGAGCTCGGTATTCCAACGGTAAGTACTTGATCTTAAAGCGGGCCTTAAAGACTTTCCAATCCTCATTTTCAACTTCTGGTAATTGATCCTTCTCATAAGCCCACCAAGCCTTGATTTCTTCCTGTAAGAAACATGTAGTTGTATGTGCCCATTGTTCTTCCGGAAAGTTACCTTGGCACTGTATGGCCAAGAAAGTCTTCTTTACGTGCTTAAACCATGTTTCTGCCTTCTCAGTTACCTCAGAGCCAAATAATTTTTTCACCTTGAGGCCACCGACGATCTCAATGAGACTCTTGTTTGAGGGACGAAAAACATTTGGTAAGGCGGCAGCAATGGCTGCTTCAATATTCGTGAAGTCTGGGAAGACAGCATTTATACGAGTTCGACAATGAGGCATATTCTGGCATCAGAGATTTCAACAAAGATTAGTGTTCAACATCACGTTTGTGATGAGTATGAGACCGACTACAACCATGCTCTAATACCAAACTGACACATCCCAACATGGAATGTTTATGTGTCTTTCCGAATCATGATATGCTGGCTGACACCAGGAGGATGACAAAGCCACAAAGTAAGGTTGATGTGTAAAAGTGAGAATAAATTTAAACTTTAAATAAATAAGCCAAAGTGCACAACATGATTGGGTGGTAACCCTTATTATAAATCAGAATAGTGTAGAAAGATAAAAGTTGTCTCATCCGTAAAGGATGATTATTTAGTACATAAGCAACGTACTTTGACCGAAAGACAATCAGTTACTTCCACTGAAACCTCGTACTCCCACGAGCTCACTCTCTGTCCTAGAAGGGCCAAAAAACAAAGGTGAGTGAGCCAAGAAAAATAAAGTTTTCTGAAACCTTTTTGAAAACGTGTAACCCCTCGCTATAAAACAAGTATATGATTTCCCAAAGTAATAATATAATAATAGCTAGTAGGAAACCTTGCAGCATAAATGAGTTAAAGGATATAGGGTGTTACTACGAAATATCTCATCATCAAAACTCAAATAGTTGTCATAAGATCACAGTTATGAAAATCATTAAAAATTCATTGTTATGAAAATCACTGCTCCTTATCTATGTAGGCACACAAGTCATACAGAAAGTAGCTACATGAACAGGCTGGGTGTAGGTTTTATGTTCTAGTACTACATCACATGAAGCTGGCGATACGCGCATCACATACGAGTCCAAACAACAATTCTAGGGACAGGCTGTCACCTAACTTTGGATCCAAAGTGAATGTAAAAGGTGCATGTGAACATACACGTGAAGCTAGTCCTTAGCCCAGGACAGTACAACTAACTAATAAACTATGAAACCCCACCTGTAAAATGTTTGTATTTAAGACAATTTCCCTAAAAGTTTATAGAATTTTGCAATTTGGTCCCTTATCCTAATCTAATTCGGACCCTCCATCTTGATTTCCCTTCTTCTCACGCTGCCATGTGGCAGCCTTCTAATTCACTTATCCCTTTCTTTCCTTTCCCGAGTCTCTCTTGGATCTCTCACTCTCTTAACTCACTATTCTCTCTCACTTTTTTCACTATCTATCTCTCTTAGACTCTCTCTCTGATCTACACCCACACACACCCATAAAGACCCCCGACGATGACGCACCACCACCATCACCCTCATGAACCTTCCATCACTCTAACTTGTCTTTGCGAAGCCCGAGCCACCTAAAAAGCACCCAAATTTCTTCGGCGAGCCCCGTGCTTTTCGAATGAGATTCCAGCCACCTTGTCCATTCTCCGTTGGATCTCAGGTACAAAACCTCTTCCCCTCTCTTGTACCTTCATGTTCATAAGTAGATCGGTGTTTTTGCGTGGACCGGAGCTGGGGAAGCTTTGGCATCATCTTTGTCGAAATCAGGCCTTCAGGCCGTTGCATCTAAGCCCAAGCCTTAGAGCGACCCAAACCCAATGAACCAAGGCTCTGCCCCGTGTATAGGAAAAGTTACGTTTGAAATTGTGTAAAAATACCTAAGACAAAGTCAAATCTTGGAATTTTCTCCTTATGCAGTGTGCGACACTACATGGGTTCTTTGTGGAACAGGAAATCAACCTTGATGCAGTGTAAAAACTTGCATGAGTTGATCAATTTGATTAAAGAGAAGCAAATTGGTTTTAATTAATATTTTATTAGATTTGAGTGTGTGAGTGGGACCTTGTGCAAGGTGTAAGCCTACACTTGTTTCAGATGGAAATTCAAGGCATGCAAGTGCCATTAAAATAATAGTTCTAATAGATTTTTAAAACATATTCTCTCATCCAATCCATTAGACATCATACTCCCCATCACTTTTTTTTTCTTTTTCCCCTCACTTAGCCGGTTCTCTCTCTCTCTCTTTGTTCTCCTCCCTCCCTCCCTCCCTCCTTTTTCTTTTAGCCGTTTCTCATCTTCTCCCTCTCAAACACACGCGCCAACCACCACCATCACTCCAAAGCTCCACCAACACTTCCAAATTCTCCCAAAAATTATCTAAGACTCTCTGCAACTCCTTGGTGGTGCCACACTCAGATGAAAACAAGGTTCCTGTTTTGGCGTTCGATAAACTTCGACAAATGGAAGTTTCCCTGACCATGGTAAGCTCAAGATTTCAACCCTCCAGCTCTCCCTTGAGTTTTTCTGTGTAGTTTACTAGCAAGCATGCCAGTTTCCACACATTTATGGTTCTTAACCCACCATGTTTTCCAGCGAGTTGTAGGTTTTTCCAAGCTAACCCATCGAAACCTTGTTGTTGTGGTTGAGTTTGAAGGTGTAAGACAACTTCCCACTAGCCCTAGGCCACAGGTTTGAGCTTGCATGCCTAAATCCACTTCGAAATCGACGAAAACGAGGAACTCAAACTCGGGCCGTCTCTTTCAAGCCATTTTCCAATGACCTCTGACAAACTTTTGGCCTTGAAATAGGTATAATCTTATTTTTCCCGTCCTAAGCTTTGTTTTGATATATTATGGGCAAACTTTGGTTGTGAAATGGCTCTAAACAAAGGGTTTGAATCCTCCCTAGATTTTCCGACGAAAATCTGCAGCAAAGAAAAAGAAAAAGAAAAACCCGGATCCTTTTTTTGAAATTGGAGGGAATATTTCCTTGGAATATTCCGTTAAAGTTAACTGTTGACTGTTAGTTAACTAAAGTTGACTTTTTTGAAAAATTGCCCAGGACCCTTCCTAGAGTTTTTCGAGAAGCTGATTCTGTTTTCGCACTCTGTTTTTCCAAATTCAATACCAACTATCTCCAAATTCTATTTTTGAGCAAACTAATGGGAAATTAGGTGTTTTGCATCAATTATTATTAGTTTAATGATTAGTATAGTAATTTCCCATATAAGAGAAGACCACCCAGAGGAGTACCACAAGCAGAATAGGTTGGGCGGCTACGACCCTGCGATTGTTTTTTACATAAAGATGTGACATGCCATGTTTATTTTCTTATTAGATTTTCTACACTTTATATTTTATTAACTGCGAGTATAAAATGTGGCATGACATCTTTATTCTTTATTTATAATCATTGTTACATGTGTGCTGACACGTCCGACCTTGATATTCCCCGAACACTAGGGTAGTCACGTGTTGGCCGACACACAAAGGTGACGAAGCCATATTAGGATGCATGAGAACTATGAATATTAATAAAATTATAGAAATTAAATATAATGAATATGCATTTAAGGAACGTGTTCAGAGCATACAACTAATCTAGAACACTAAAAGGAAATAATATAACATTGAATGAACAAAGAAGCAGGTCCTACACCGAGGGGACTCGAAGATGCCGATGCGAAACTGCCTTGACGCCGGGATTATACGCCTCGACTCTAAATCCTGAGAGGGCGCAAAACAAATATGAGTGGACTAAGTTGATATATATATATATATAATACTAAAACAGTTATCAATGTACTAACCCCCAAAGTTTTATGAAAACTCAATAGCATAATAAGTAATAGGTTTTTTCCGAAAACCCTAACATACCATAAAACCTTCATAAAACATATCTCATATATAATGTGCTAACTAATGGTATCCTAGTAACCTATGGTGTTCAATAATTATATCTCCCGACCCGCAGCCAATTACCATGTCTTTACGCCTGAAGCCAAAAATTATTTCTCTCGGCCTAAAGCCAACTCCATGTCTCTTGGCCCGAAGCCAGAGATTATTTCTCCCAGCCAGAAGCCAACTTCATATCTCTCGTAGGCAGAACAGTGACCACTAGATGAGCATAAAACATTGAATATACACTTTCCATGCCACATCCCTGCCCGGGCCCCCATCACATCCCCGGCTTGACTCGACCGTAGCACGATATTGTCTGTTTTGGGCCCCGACCACGCCCTCACGGTTTTATTTTTGGGAACTCACATGAGAACTTCCCAGTGGATCACCCATCCTGGGAATGCTCTCGCACGAACTCGCTTAACTTTGGAGTTTCAATGGAACCCGAAGCCAGTGAGCTCCCAAAAGGCCTCGTGCTAGGTAGAGATGGGAATATACATATAAGGCTTCCAGGATCCACTCCCCTGGACGATGTGGGATGTTACATTCCAAACATAGGTACATATATCTAAAAAACATCTTCATAGCATATAGTCATCCATCATATATACTATAAAGAAATGTGTAAAAACGTGTTCATAAGCAGTATATAGTCATTCATCATATATACTACAAAGAACATCAGTTTGATAAAATGTGGTGATTCAAAATATTCTCAGTGAGCACAATATCTCATAAAACGTATCATAAAACATAATCATTAAATCATGCTTTTCATGTATGCATTTCTACTATTAAAACATGGATTTTAGAATGGGTTCACTCACAGATACTTCGCCGCCAAAGAGCCACACAAACTAGTGAAGATGGAAACGCCACACTAAATGCACCGAAGCACATAAATGGTCCAATTAATAAAACTTTATTCAAACGATTAAATTTGGGAAAACGAACATCACAAACAAATTCAGGACGTCGAATTACCCTAAGAAGGGTCCCGATTAAATTTCGTAAAAGTTAACATTAAGAATATTCTATCTGGGTTGGGCTGGTAGTTTTGGGTCGACGGGTCCTAGGCCCAAAGGCCTGGTTTCAAAGGATTTTGGGTTGGATTTCAAAGAAATTGGGTTTGCCTATTTGGGTCGGTGTTCTATGGCCCAAGGCCTGGGGTTAGGGTTTTACAAATATGGGTTTGGGTTTAGATAAGGCTGAAAGCCCTGGGTTTGGGCTTTAACAATTAGGCTAGGTTCATGGCCTAATGAGTTGGGCTAGTTTAACTGATGGGTCAGGTTGGCCGGATTTCAAAGGAAGGAGAAAGCTAGAGCTTCCATGTTCCGTTTAACCTCGAAACGTGACCAAAACATGCAAACCAATATACCAAATTGAAG